TTAATACATGTTTATAATACATGTTTATATATACATTTTATATATATATATATATGCACACACACTTTTGATGAACATGTACTAATTATGCACATAATGTCCCTTTTGACAGAACTGGTTTCCTATTCTGCCCATCCAACTGCTCCATCCCAGCCATTGAGAAAAACATGTAGGGAAGAGTCTTATTGTCACAAACTGGGGATAGCTTTATAGCAATTAACCCAGCTGCCTAATTATAACCTAAAGAGGGAAATTTATAAATCCATCATAGTAAAACTTTTTAGAAATTTTCCCAAAGTTTTTTCTAACTTGAAGGTAAAAACTTTACACTGCAAATCAACTCATTTTATTGTGTGAGCCACCAATTTATCTTGAAGACTGGACTAGGAAGTCACTTTGCTTTAGGTTAAAAATTCAGTGGATATTTCTTGGATGGTTTGTGATCACAGTACTTACTTGATTACACTTGTTATACATCATTTTTAGGAAATTACAGTCTCAATCCTCAGACAAAGAGCTCAGAGACTCCTCAATAAGAGCAGAATCCAAACTACTTCTTTACTCCAAAAAACTTAGACTCCTATACTCACCTCCCTACACTCACCTTCCTCCCCATAACTCACCAGGGTGGCCTTTTTCCGGGCACTGTTAGACCCCTTCTTTTTCCTAAGATGTAAATCCAAGTCCTTCACTCTTTGATGTTGCAATGTTTATGACTGTGTACCTGTCTGACAAATGAAACAACTCCAAAGTTAATCCAGTACACTGGGGCTAATACTCATCTGAATGTACAGGATACATGAAAGATTGTTGGAGGAAATGCAGTTTATTAATTTCTTGAAATCAGAGTCTTATCAGCTCCATAAATATCTAAGGCATTCATATGTAGGGTTCTTGATGTCCCTGTGTTCCTGAGATTTAGTCAAATTCCTTAGAGGATTAAGCACTCCTCTCTGGATTTTTGAAGTGTGTTCCTAGATTAAGCCAGGCCATTAAATACTTGAATATCTAGGAAGTGCCATTTTCCTATCTCCCTGAATTTACTGTAAGGATGCACTTAAATTCCAATACAGCATTTTCTTATGAAAATGGATAAAAGATATTCCCCAGTGGTTTCATAAGTAGGAATAGTTGTGAATAGATTATCTTAAATTAAGTACAAAGTATTGTGTTAAATTCTTTGTTGGTGGCTAGAAAGTTCAGAGCCAAGTGTGGACCTGCCTCATACAAGCAATTACAGTGTCTCAGTACATGTTTTATGGTACTTGCCTTTGAGGTTTGAGAGGCCGATAAACACCCATTTACCCCCCACCTGGATTCTAAACTAATTGAGAAATAGACAAAGGAGACAGACCAGTGGAGATCCAGATGTCAGCTTTATCACCAAAGCTAGTAAGAGGCTACAGCTTGGTGTGGCACATGGTAACATGCAGTCCTGCAGAAGGGTGTCAGGTCTCTGCAGACAAATGCACTTGCCCCAGAGAGGAGAGCTTCTCAGCCTCTGCCCTCAGGAGCACACTCAAATGTACTATCCTTTGTACAACTCACTTGGTCCACCTTCCTGAAGGAGGCACTGAGGCAAAAGGCCAGGTGTGCAACTCGGAGAGGAGCCTTCTCAAGGGGAGACGGCAACAGTCACCTACCAGCACTGACTTCTTCCCTACCTTCAATCTTCCTTTGCCTAGTTCTCTCAGCTATTTAGCTAATTGCAGCAGCATAGAAATTTCTGTAAAATTCTTAGAATCTTTTAGAGGGAACAGTTTGGGGTAAATAATTTAACTCATATTTATTTTAAATTTTTAAATTATTTTTTATTATTCCCATTTATTTATTTTTTAGACAGGGGCTTGCTTTGTTGTCCAGGCTGGCCTCAATCTCCTGGACTCAAGCATTCCTCCTGCTTCAGCCTCCCAAGTAGCTGAGACTACAGGCATCAGTGTACCTGGCTTTCACCGAATTTAGAGTGCTGGATATGGAGAATGTAATGCGTGAATTGTATTCCTCCTACCTCTCAGTGATTCACTTAAAACTGTTTTGCCTTATCTATTCTTCACGAGATGGTGTTACTCAGTTTTAAAACACAAAGAGAAATCTGGATTTAAAGCCCATGAATATGGGCCCCATCAGATTATCTAGAGTTCATTTCTACAAAAAGAGAGATATGATAAACGTTCAGTCATGAACCCACTTTCGAAGAATCTATGCCAAGTTCTTTGACAAATGTGTATTATGCTTTTTAAGAGAATCAACTTGAAAGACAATATCCTTATTTCAATGAAGCCATTACTACTGAGAGAATTTTCTGAATTCCTTCTTAAGAATGGCTATTGGAGGCTTCAGAAAGTACCTCAGATATCCTCAAAAGTGCCCTTTCCAGTGGATCTAATTATGGAAACTACTTTTTTTTTTTGGTGACGGGGATCAAACTTGGGTCATTGCGCTTACAAGGCAGGCGGTGGAACCACTGAGCTAAATCCCCAGCCCTGCAAACAACTATTTTGAGCTGTATATAGTAAATAATGTATCCACTCAAGTTTGTTGACAAAAGTTTAGTTAAAAACAAGAATGGCACGGGCTGGGGATTTAGCTCAGCACTTCCGTGGCCTGCCTTGCAAGCGCAAGGACCTAAGTTTGATCACCGGTACCAAAAAAAAAAAAGAATGGCAGAATAAATATTGGAGCAAGTCACACATGTGTAAATACCGAATAGTTTCCCTGGTGTGAATAATCTGCAACAATGCATAAGATTCTAATAAGATTACTGACATTTAGAAATGGGAAGAAAGGAGCTCAAGGTGTAGGGAAGGTGGGATGGGTAGGGGAAGAGTAAAAAGGGAAAAGAAAAAATGTGACAGAATGAAAAGATGAAAATAAAGTGTTTGTAAATAGGGAGGGGAGGAGGGAGTGAAGGGAGGGCAGAGGTAAGGGGAAAAAATGAGAATCAAGACTTGTCATGTAGAGGTACAAGATCCCAACAATGAATGTAACTGTACTGTATCCCTAAAATGTACCAATAAACTCAATTAAAGCTGAAAAAAAAAAAGAAAGAAAAAATATTGGAGCAAATCTTCATAATCTTGGATTGGAACAGGTTTCTTAAATGTGACACCAAAAAAACACAGGCAGTAGATAAAAATGAAAAGAAACCCTTAGAGTGGGAGAAAATATTTACAAATCATCTACTTGATGAATATGCAGAATATATAAAGAATTCCTACAGTTCAGTAACAACAAACAGCACTCCAATTTAAAAAGTAAGCCGAGACATTTTCATGGAAGAGATGAAAATGGCCATGAAGAGCATGAAGAGATTATTTGTCCTTAGAATAAAACATTAGATCAGGATAACTATTCATTAGGAAAATGCAAATCAAAACCACAAGATGACACATCACATTGGGATGGTCATGACTTAGGAAAAAGGAAGGAAAATTGCAATTGTGGAAGAGGATGTGGAGAAAACCGGAAGCCTCAAACATTTCCAGTAGGAATGAAAAATGGTATAGCCATTGTGGAAAATAGAATAGATATTCCTCAAAAGTTAGATGCACAGTTACAATAAAATTCAGAAATTCTACTCCTAGCTATATACCTCAAAGATTTAGGGAAAAGGTCTCAAAAAGTTACATATATGTAAATGTCCATCATAATGGCCAAAAGGTAGAAATAACCCAAATGCCTCTCAGTGAATGGATGGATAAATTGTAGCATATCCATACAACGGAATGTCATTCAGTCATAAAAAGAAAGGAGGTACTGGTGTGAATAAACTAATAGTACATAAGATTCGATTGCTATAATGGACAATGTGAAATAGGAAGAAAGGGGCTAAAGGCATAGGGAAAGTGGGAAGGGTAGAGGAAAGCTAACAAGGGAAAACAAAAAAATATGAGAAAATGAAAAATTGGAAATGAAGTGTTTGTAAAGGGGCAGGGGAGGAGGGGGTGAAGGGAGGGCAGGGACAAGGGGAAAAAATGAGAACCAAGACCTGTCATGTAAAGGTACAAGATTCCAATAATGAATGTAACTGTACTGTATACCTAAAATGTACCAATAAACTCAATGAGGGAAAAATAAATAAATAAATAAATAAAAAGAAAGGAGATACTGATTCACACTACGTCATGGACACATTGTGAAAGTATCACACAGTGAAATAAGCCAGATACAAAAGGACAAATGCATGATGAATAGGCAAAGTCACACAGATGAAAAGTAGATTACAGTCACCTGAGATGGACGAGGAGAGGTGGGGTATGGGAAATTATTATTTACTGGGCACAAAGTTTCTGTTTGGACTGAGGAAAGGATTTGGGAAATATTACTGATAGTTGCACAATATTGTGAGTGTCTTAATGTCACTGAATTATACACTTTTAAAAAGTTAAATTCTTGTTTTACTTATATTAAAATTTTAAGTATTAAATATAAAATATATTTTATTAAGCACTAGTATAAAATTAAACAAATCTTAGCTGTTTATAATCACAATTATAAAAGTTCAAAATCTACAAGCTAAAATTTTATTTGTAAAAATCTTACAGTCCTTTCTTTTGACAAATGCATTGTTGAAATATCGAAATGCAAATGGATCCTGTGTCAAGTTAAACTTTGCATCAATAGTTTAATCTTTTTCAAATTCCAAGATCGTAGAAAATGATGAGACAGCTCTTGAGTTCCTTCTTTTAAGGCAAAGCCCTGTATTTGCGTAGTATCAGAAAATAAAAGGGGAGAGATGAGGAGGTTTTGTTATTCAAAAGAAGGTATAACTAATTGGCTCGATCTTGTGGCTTACATCCCATGCAGAGGAAATTAGATAATTTACGTTTGGTCAACTAAAGTCGATATTAACACTTAAAAATGGGGAAGGAAATCTTGCCACATATCTTTGGACCACATTTCTGTCTGTAGCCCGGTTGCTGAGTTCTTTGGTCTCCCCTTCTCCCTGCCAAGCCAGAGCATCGAGAGTGATTGCTCACGTGCGCCTGGTTCTTTTCCAGAGCATAGAAAACTTGGAAACATGACTGTGACCGTGAAGAAGACTGTGCCCTCCCCGGAGGCCGTGCAGATTCTCTACCAGCGAATGAGATACGAGTATGAGTTCTACCACTACGTCAAGGAGCAGTTCCACCTGCTGAAGCGCAAGTTCGGCCTGAAGTCCCTCGTGAGGCAGCCCCTGAGACCGCAGTTCTTCATCCCCACCCCGCTGGAAACCGAGGAGCCGATCGATGACGAGGAGCAAGATGATGAGAAGTGGCTAGAAGACATTTATAAGAGGTGATGCCAACACTGGCATGGGTTGCCTCCATGGCTCTATCTCCCTCTCCAGAAAGATTTTTGTTTGGGGGAAGAAAACATCGTGAAGGGACTTTAAATTAATGCTCGGGTGCATTAAAAAGAACAAAACATTCCCACATGTTGGGGTCATTGGCAGATGCCCGGTTTTGCGGGTGTTGTTTAATTTTATTCTGTGCTTTCTCTTGGCTCTTTGGGGCTTTCCCAGGTACACAGATGGCTCCATCACAAGGCATCATGTCATAAAATAGCCTTTCCCTTCCCTATCCCCATAAGGTGGAAGAAAGAGGAGAAATATATTCCACAGCCCAATAATTTATCATTTGTAAAATGACTTGTAAAAATATTACCTCGGTGGTAGAAGATATTCAGACTTGTTTATGTCAGTAGAGATATAAAACCACTTCGTAGACCAGGGAATCTGCTCTACAAGCATCTAAGAGGAGAAGGTAAGACAAAGACCATCAAAGAACAGATGTGCCTGCTTGCCACATGGGTAGAATTCTGCCCCTCAGGGGACATTGTCACCAAGAGTAGTGCACTTATCTCTGGAAGGATGAGTTGGCTTGTGCCATGACCCCAGCCAATCAGAGCCTGGTGTACCCTTCAAAGTCAATGTGCGTGGCAAGTTCCACTGTGGCATTCCACTCCCAAGAACCGTTCTGACAGTCACCAAAGTAGCATAACAGGGAATACGATTTGTTTTTTATGTAAGGAAAAGTATAGGCAGCACAGAGCCCGTCTGGGGCTCATGTGACAGCAGGAAAAAACATGGCCATGTGCTTTGTGCACAACCTGAAACACCTCTGTCCCTGGCACTGCTTTAAGTGGAAGACCCAGGAACCAGTTTAGCTCTGGCATTAGTTTTTATGGCAGGAATTCTAAACCTGACCACAGGCAGTGCATAATCTCTGAAGTCCACCCCTGCTCAAACAGTGTCTTATCTGGTATCTAGTACCTGCTTTTAGTAACAAGGGGTCCTCAGTTCTGTGCAGGCAGCTCGTATGGAATCAGTTTACTCTTAAGAACTCTTAGTAGGGACATCAAAATCAGAAAAGTAAGACTTCTGGGAAAGAGACTGACAAGATTTATGAGCAGGTGAGTGCCTCTATGTGATCTGAGTAGATGCTGGACAGTCCTAGTACCCTCAAATATCCAGTCTGTCACCTTTCACCCCATCACTTGCCCCTACCCATTGATTTAATTATTAGAAATCTCCCTTAAATTCTGAAGTTTCACCTTTAAAAAAAAATCCTGAAAGTGAGTGTTCTCCTGGACAGATAACACTAGAAGCCAGGATGCAGGGGTGGAAGTAGGAAGGACAAGCAGGCTTGTGATAAATTCTGTCTGCTCCATATTCTCCCCTTAGAGCTATCCCATCAAGAGCACTTGCAAAGTGAGTCAGAGGACTTAAGACTCTGACTTTAGGCAAGCTACACATTTTCTGCTTTGCAGAAAACAACAGTCTCTCTAGAATTTTTTTTTCTTTCTTCACTAAAACTGAGCAGTGAACAAGATACAAAGCAAGTCACTTGAACCCTGCTTAGTGTGTGCTTAAGTTTCTTTATCATGAGTTGGATTAAAAGGCTCCAGCCCATAGGCATCCAGTGAAATCAGGGGCCACAGAGGCACAAAGTCCAGCACTTGTGAGTTTTCTTTCAGCTTCGGGGGACTGGGACAGCAACGTGAATAAGGGACAGGTTCCCAGAGTAATAAATATCATTTGTCCTGTGCAGAGAGACCAGGGCCTTACTATTAGATATATTTTTAAAAACAACTTAAAAACAACTATCATATTCAAAACAGTATAAGAAGTGCTGCCTTCTATGTTGTGAGTCATTTCTACTAAACTGCATATAAAGAATGATGGTAAGTTCACACACTGTACAATCTCACAATCTGAAAACAAAGTTACAATGGCTAAGTTTTCTCTGCTGTTGTTAGAACACCAGAATAATGGGTCATTCAACAAGTCCATCCTCTTTCTGCAAGTTCACATGGGCACTTCTACCTCTGTGTCCAAAGGTATTTATTTTGGGCAGTGATCAGTATAACATCACAACAAAAGTTGCCAACTGATTACTTGTAGGGACTTTTTGCTATTTTGTCCCAACAAACAGCCTCTAGTTCCTAAAAGTCAAGGCACTCCATCGACTTATTTGGCACATATGACAACACTTATTTGGCTCTGGGCCCAATACAGTTTGTACTTCATGAAATATACTGTACATTTTACATAGTTTAATTTAAAAAATACATTTTAAGCTAATTGATCTTTGACTGCCTTATTTATTATAACCTTTCAGCACATTCCAAGGTTTTAGTTACTCAGGAAGGAGTTAATTAAAATGATTTTATTTTGGTCTGATGGATGTTTTTTAAAACAAAAATTATTATTATGAACCCTCAGCCTACTTTCTTTGAGTACTGTAAAAGTGCTTGTAAATCTTTTTTTTCCTAAAGAATAAAAAATGATATTTGACATTGATGGAAATTCAAAAATATATATGGAACTGAAACATAAGCTTAGCTAAAATAAAAGCAATCTGTGTTTGAGATGAAGTGTTCCTTAACTTATTCATTACCTATATAAATAAATGAATATAAATAAGTTGAAATTCTTCCATTCTGTTAATAACTAGAAGAGTACCTATAAATCATCACAGAACCCTCAGCCTTCGTAATTAGCAAACCTTTTTTTCTTAAGATGTCATTTTGAAATGATTTGTTTTTTAAAATCTATCAACTTTCATTTTTGTTACTATAAGGCACCAAAAAAACTGTCTAAAAAATGAACTAGTCCTCTCATTCATTTAGCTGTGTATACAAAATAGTAAACCACGGATATTATTTCTGTTTCCACTGGTTGGCTTTGTGTCAGGGTGCTACATTAGAATCCTCGATGTCTGACATGAATTATCAAGGCTGTGTGTGTTCTGGAAGGTAGGGGGAAAAAAGGACATGCCACGTCTCTCAAGTGTGTAAGCTGATCTGTTTCTCAGACATTCTGAGCCTCAAATGCTGGATGATTATAATTTTTGAAGAGGTCTTTATCCAGAAATGCCCAATCCTGGAAAATTTCAGTGCTGTGGTCCATTGGAACTTACGGAGAAGAGTCAGACAGAAAGAGAATCCCTATGCTTTCTAGATGTTGCATACTAATTTCCAACCACATGTGACTCATTTGTAGAAGAAAGACTCTATCTTGATATTATGGGAAAGACATTGTTCCAAAGAGGAGATGCACATATATCACATGCTAACACTTTGCATTTAGAGGACACTTAGTTAGCTTTTGAGCATCTACCAAAACACTTTAAAGTTACAGGTTCTTGTTTCTTGGTAAACAGACTTGGGTCCTGTTTGCCCATCTCAAAGGCAAAATGGAGGTTCATGTCCTCCTTCCTGTAAGAAGCTTCATATGGACCCATTTGAAAAACTAGAGTCAAAATGTAGCTCATAAAACTAGTTGAATTTGATATCCTAGAGGCAGAACTGGAAGGCAGAATTAGAGGCTAGCCAGGCCCCAACCCTGCCTTGCACAGGCCTTGCTCCCTGACTGTGTTGCTGAAGAATTCCTTTCAGCCTAGAGCAGGTTTAGCTCACTGCTCCCAGAGCTGCTGATCCTCAAGGAACACCCTGACCCGCAGACGTTCACGGGGCACAGAACTGTGAACTGACCACTTGGGCATTTTGGATTTCAACTTGTAAACATGGGGATTCCCTTTTAAAGTGGGCGGGATGAGGAGTAAGGAAAAATCACCATGCACAGGAAAAATGTGAACTAAGTTTTTCCTTCTGGAATCTTGGCGGGTGAGTTTAGCTATCTTCAATCTGGCTTTCACCAGACACTGTATGCTTTGAGCAGGCACGGAGCCGTCTGCCCTTGGCTGCCCTGCCAGAACATTCAGACTTGACCTGTAACACGCCTTTTATTCCAGTCCCAAGCAGAAACAGCTCGGAGGATGGGACCTGACAGGCGCAGCGTGCTGTCTGCACGATGTGCACTGGAGAGGTGACGAAACGAGGAAGCAGAGTGATTGCTGAGGGCAGGGACTGCACACCAGAAAAGTCCTGGGTTCAAGTGCCAGCTGGTCTGTGTCACTAGGCTTACGAGTAAATCGCATGACCTCCCAGTGCCTGAAGTCAAACCAGCTGGAAAGCATTAGAGAGAAAATAAGAGGTCTACTGAAATCCACAAACTGCTTCTAGGATGAATTTTTCCCACCCTCCACCCCTAAACACCAAGAAACTGAGAGCTACAGCCCTTCCTCAGCTGATGAAGGACTTGTCATCACAGAACACCGTATCCCTAGCAAGAGAACATAGAATTGCACATAATTCTGGGTCCATCCCCCACATCTGTTAGCCTTGTTGCCCAACCTGCTGGTGAGTTCATAGAAAACAACACTTGAAATGTGAATAGAGCCATATGATGAAGCATATTCTACTACACAAGAGCTGGAGTAACAGAGCAGGGACCTGTGCTGAGGAACTGTCAGTCCCCATTTCCTGACTTCCTTCTGCTATTTTATTTACTATCCTGCTATTCAAAACAGACTGCTTTGTGGATTTCCATTTTTGAACATTCTCTAAGAGGAGTTTATCTAGCAGTGAGTTACAAAATTCAAGTTACAGCTTGCACTACAAGCTTCCTTTAACTCTGTAAAGTGCCCTGTGTATTTATGGTCCTGTTATAGTGATAAGCTTCACAAATCCATTTGAACTAGTATGGGTTGTAACAAGGTAACATATTTATAAAAATTCAAAATCTGGTATGATTGGATGCTGCACTTTTTGAGTCTTATTTCTCATTCTTGGAAATAGCGACAAGACTATAATGTAGGAGAAATGTAGTGATTTTGTAGGTTGATGGTAGTTTTCAGCATGGCTTATCCTTTTGACCCCACTATAAAACTGCCATAGATTGAGACTTTAATACATTGTATTAGTAATTTTTCAAATGTGAAAGAGAATTAGGATACTGACCACAGCTTTCTTAGATTTACTCTGTATCAAATCTATTTTCTTTTCTTCTTCAGCACACTTTTCATACTTGTTTTCTGCCTTTTTGATTGGAAGATAATGAAATTCTGATCCAGGCACAGTCTCAAAGGAACAAGCACTTTTTAAGAAATCATTGTACTTTGGAAAATGCTGCAGCTCTGAGTGCAGTGTCACATGGTATGGTGGCATATTTTAAGAGCATCCTAAGAGCTCTGGGACATACTAACTTTTTTTAAAAACTTAGTTCGTCTTTACCGAATGCCCAACATTTCAAAATTACTTGACAGGGAACCCTATTGGAATAAGACCCTTGTTGCCCTGTCAGAACCAATGTTCTGGAGATGATTCTTTGAGAAACATTCTTTCAGAATATGTGATGACATTCAATTTCTCCCCATTGGAAAGAGTTGCTTTCCTTTCTTTCTTCTGTGTTATACTTTTGGGATTTCCAAATGGCCCATGTATCCTGCTTGAGAAAAATATATTTGCAGATGATTAAGACTTTGATAAATACAAGATAGGGAACTTTTCAGTGTAATAATTAAGTAGAATCATCTTTTACTTTTGCTTATTCTCCCCAATTACATTCTCTTACCTCAGGAAAAACTAAAAACTGTTTTTAAAACAAAATGTTTATATACTTTCTCATGTTATTCCTATGCTTCAAGTGAATTCACTACCTCCATAACTATCAGGGTTCAAACTCAGTGGAACAAAAGACATCTATCCTTCTTTCTTCCCTGACCTATAGTTGTTTGTTCAAGAGAAAGGAAGGTGGTAGCAAAACAGATTCAGTGGTTCAAACAAAACTGGTGATTGGGAATGAGAATGCACAGCCACCGTGCAAGGGGCACCTATGTTGTTCAGTACACTAGAGGGAGCCGTGTCCACAACAATTTACTCCAGAAGCCCCTGCTTGTTTTCCTCCAATGCTTGAGAGCACTATGGACCAGAAAGAATTCATGGTTAGTGGATTTGAAACACCGTATTCACACTGTCACTTGATCGATTGGTTCTCTCTCTTGGGTTATATGAGCTAATA